TTGTTCTATCTCTGACCAAAATCTCATGACTAGCGATTACTCAACCATTAATCCTAAACAAGCAGCCGCAATGCGACGGTTTCGTGAACGTTACATGTATTATTCTTATTGTTATGACACCGTACGATACGCGGTGCCTCCACCAGAATGTGTGATCGTGAGGGCTGAAAAAGATCGGTTTAGGAATACCGGACGGTTAAAGTTTGGTGGTAGTCATACTAAGGTGCATAGAGCACGGCGGAGACGGCGGAAGAATCCGTCCAAGCAGGTTGTATCGGCTGATCAATAACGTTAGTTAGTTGAATTAATTGACGAGTATATGTATAAATAGTGTTTTATTATATAGTTTCTTTCTATAGATTTGATAATTAATTAATATTTTTAAGCTTTCTATCGTATTCATAGATAAAAATGAAGAAAAAATGTTATTTTCCCATCCAATTCAAAAATTTATTATTAAAATTTATTTGGAAATATCAAATGGCAATTTGAAGAAATTTATTAAATTAGTATAACCCTTTTTTTTTTGGTCAACAAAATTAGCATAACTCAATTGAAAAAAATAGTAGAAACGGTTTTATGGTCAACGGTTTTTAAATGTTTGTTTGCCTAAACTCACATATTATAGTTTCTTCTCTACATCATTATTATTTTTTAAGCGTTCTGTCTTATATATAGAGAAAAAGGGGGAATAATATTTCCTTGCAATTTAAATTTTTTTTATTATTTTAATGTATTTTGAAATATCAAAGGAGAACTTGAAGAAATTTATTAAATTACCATAACTCTATTGAAACGGTTGTATTTCATATCTACAATTCACACGCGCGCATTTTATCATATATAAACATAGATTGTGATACCACAATACGAATATAAAATACATGCTTCAATCTATATTTTCAACTATTAGATATGGTTTTAAAATTTAAAGTCTATCATTTTTGTTTTCCTAACTTGTTCAAACATAAAATCAGAATCTAATCGAAACTTAAGCTATTTTTAACCTGTCGACAAATAAATTAATAAAACCTTTTTTTTTAACTTGTTGCAATAATCTGAACCCGTGTCTCAATAGATGACATGTAACATTCCATAGATATAATATAAGCTTCATGTTGATTATACTACTAATATATACATACGTGGACCATATATCCAACCCTAAGTCAAACTATTTATTTCAAAGTATCAATTTGTTTTATTTAAACGTTTAAACAAAGTATCTCTCCTTTGGGTTTAGTTCACAATAGCAAACAAAGCTTTTCACGGCTCATGTTAGCAAACAAATTGACAAAAAAAAAATTGCAGAATCCCCATGAATGTGGACCAACTACAAAATCTACAAGCAAAGAAACCATATTACTTCACAAGCAAACCCATAAAACCCAATTTAACATAAAATTTGATTCTTATGGTTTTTCCTCTTCTCAAGAAATCAAACAAATATCTAATTATTAAGTCACCTAATATAATATTCCCGAAATTAATTTTTTTTTTCTTTCNCCAAAAAAAATCGTGATACATTGGTTCATTTTGAAAGCTAGTATATCATACATCCACCACA